CTAACAGTGAAACTTGAATCCATTTCTCTCCATGGCAAATCCTTTACTTTGTTATTACATAATATGTGGAATGTTTGGGTTTGGTTCTGTCTGAATTCCTAAAATTAGAGTTTTGCCATTAACTTTTTTTATGTCCATGCATGAGAGAGATAGAGAGTGCGACGAAGAGATGGCAGACGTGGTCTATAGCTGTATGCATTAAAAGGAGATTTTGCAGAAAGTTATCGTGTTGGTTGATGGAAAACTCATACTAAGCATTTACATTATATGTTGCACCTTTTGACTGGTTTTGAATCAAATGATTTTTCTTTTTAATTTATTTTTTATTATTGTTTTCTTTTTACCGTATTTTCACGACTATAAGGTGCACTTAAACGTCTTTTTTCTCCCTCAAAATGTGCGGAGCGCCCTTTGGTGCGGTGCGCCCTATGTGTGTTGTAACTGCGACTTTTGAGACCACCTCATTGAGGAGATGATGAAAGAGTGGCTGAATGTAAGGTGAAAAGGTGTTTTTTTTCCACTCATCACCATCGCTGTTAATATGTAACTCCATGCGTGCCCATCTCACAGCTGATGTGAAAAACATGGGGAAACAAATTAACGCTGTGCTCGCTGTTCAACCGCTCGACATCGGTGTGAACCGGACCCAGCAGGTGCAGCAGAAGCAGCGAGTTTACATGCAAAGTCAATGGTTGACGTGCGTATAGGTGCAGCAAAAGGTCCCGCAGCGCGTTTTGAGCAGCAGGTGCAGTGCGTCGGGAGCGTTTAAGCATCTGACGCACCGCCAACGCGCTGCTGCTGCTCGAGATGGAAAAATTGAAGTTTTGCTGCTGGACGCGCCGCATCAACCAATCAGAGAAGCTGATCTGGGAGCTGACAGCGAGACAGACACAGCGCTCTGATGACATATGAACGCAAATGAAAAAGGCTGGATGGATGAGGAGATGATGAAAGCGTGGCTGAGGCAGGTGTATGTGAGGAGACCAGGTGTTTTTTTTCCACGCATCACCATCGCTGCGTGCCCATCTCACAGCCGATGTGAAAAAAAAGGTGAATCAAATGAACGCTGTGCTCGCCGTTATCCCGGGGGGTCTGACAAAGGAACTTCAACCGCTCGACATCGGTGTGAAGCGGCCGTTCAAAGTAAGGCTGCGAGCGGCGTGGGAGCGATGGATGACAGACGGAGACCACAGTTTCAAGATAAGTGGAAGGCAGCGCCGGGCAAGTTACGCGACCGTTTGCGGATGGATTGTAGATGCTTGGACTAACGTGTCTGCTGGCTCTGTTGTTCAAGCTTTCGCAAAAGCAGGCATTATTTCCGAGGAGCCGCGCTGCACGGAAAGTGACTCTGACAGCGAAGAAGGGGAAATTGGCATGTCTGATTTAGTGCAGCTGTTTAATTCAGAAACAGTGGATGATGAATTTGATGGGTTCGATTAATACTTTGTAATAAATACATGAATAAAGCACAATCATACTCAGTTTTGCTCCCGCTCTATTTTTCTACCTGAAAACTTAATTCAACAGCAGCATCTGGGCCGGGTCTCCTCCTCTTCACCGCGGCGGCTGGCAGGTGTTTTTCATCTAAATAATCTAAATCTTGCAGCTATATTTGCTGTGATCAGGGGGAATAAAGTAGTTTTAATATGTTTTTAAGTGAGAAAGTCCACCTGAAAACTTAATAATTGCAGTCAGTTCATCCAGATTATCTATTTCTGTCGGAGCCGCTCAGACCCCCACATACCAGCGGTGTGCCGACAGTAGAAATCCCTTCAACAGCAGCCTCTAGGCTGGGCAGCCTCTGGGTTCACCACGGTGGCTGGCAGGTGTTTTTCATCTAAATAATTTAGACTGCAGGCACCAGGATACCGGTAATAAAAGCGAACATATTCCGTCGGCAGATTTCAGGATTTTAAGTTAATTTAGGAGTGATCACAGCGCTGTGTCATCTGAGATGTGTCTGTCTCACGGCCAGCTCCCAGGTTTGATTAATACTTTGTAATAAATACATGAATAAAGCACAGTCATACTCAGTTTTGCCCCCACTGTATTTTTAAATATGCAGTAGAGGTATTTAAAGGTAGTAGAGGACATGTACCTGTATATAAAAAACGCGCCCTATAGTCCGGTGCGCCTTATGTGTGTGATAAATACAGAAATGGGACACATAACTGAGACTGCGCCTTTTAGTACGGTGCGCCTTATGGTCGTGAAAATACGGTACTTCTGTAACAGTCCACCCATGACATGTAATATATTTCCCCACTGCTTGGCATTTTAATTGTTCTTTAATTCTGCTGCTCAAGTCTCAGTGAGCAGATTTTTGATCTTCGAACCAGTAGACTTATTTGTCTTCAATGTCTTTTCTATGAAAAAACACCTTCTGAAAAGGGTTGGAAGTGGCAGCCCTCCTAGTTTTATGTAGTAATATATATGGCATTATCGGGACGGTAATTATTCAGGTTTACATTTCTCAGGAATTTGTGCTCAGTTACTGTACACACAGGTAGACTGCATGAGGATTAGGGGATCATTTACTGAAGTTAAAAACATTTGTTAAATCGATGTGGTGCGTTCGTAGGAGTCCACAGTGCAGGGAAGAATAGGAAAGATTTTCAACAAGAATACAAAAATATAGTTCCATAAGGCCCAGTGTGTCTCTCTGCTTTCATGGACCAGCCTGGAATATTACAAGCACTATACACTGCAACCATAACCCAGAGAGGTACATGGTAACATAATTTTATATCATCATTAACGCAATGGCTACTGTACTACTGTACAATACATGAATAGTTATAGTATTTAGCTTATTAACAAATTCCTTTTATGTATGTATAAATTACTGTATATATTATTGTTTTTTTTAGAGTGTGCACTTATGTCTATATCAATCTCAGTCTTTATCCAATTATTTTAAGACATTAAAGGTCTGTTCCTTTTTTAATTTCTCTGTTCCAAGTTGTCTGTACACTTTATTCCACTTTTGTTCCCAGATATTTATATTTTGTTTTTCCTTTTTTTATATAATTATTCATATAATTTTCATAACATTACAATACAAGATGTCAACATTTAACCAGTCTCGCTTCTCAAACTATTTCATATCCCATTATTGGGATAACAAAGTTGATCTTATCTCTATATCAATAATTTGCTCATATAACTCCACTGTTTAATATAGTAAATTCAAATAGTAAGGATTTTTTTTTTAATGCTTTGAACTTTCATATGATGGTGTTTTTTTGCACCATGTTTTTTTTTTTTTCTCACACTGTTTACATTTGATCACTGCTGCACTTTAAGAAATGGAAATGTCATGAAATCTGTACGAAACAAAATTTTCTTTTGTATAAACTCAGTGTATACAAAATGACAATAAAAGTTGTCCAAGTCTTTTTTATTCACTGCTTATATTTTACGGCTGTAGTTTAACTGTTTGTAAAATTTTCTGATTACGGTACATAAAACTCCAGAAAATGTGATTCGCAGTCTGCACATAGGCCTTTATTTGAAATGAAGACAGGATCTACTTTGCATTTCATTAAATAACTTCCTGCCTGAATGATGTTCTCTTCTCTAGATTGACGTCGAGTGGAAGCGCCAAAAATAGAACAGCTACCTATTTTAGAGAAGCAGCCAGCTGCCAGTGCGTCTATGATGCAAAATGCACTGCACGGCAACCTGAAACCATAGAATTGCCTATGATTGCTCCAATCTGCCCAGCGGAACAGAACTGTGGCGCATGTGTGCAATTTACACATCCATTTGAGTGAGAAGGTTATGCAAACCACAAGTAATTATTCCTCTTAAGATATGAAGCTATGTCACGTCAAGAATTTCAAACTATTTGGTGGTTGAATTATCTGAAATTAGCAATAATAAATGGTCTGAAAAATGAAAGATTTATGGTTGTATCATCTCAGTTGCCTTTTTAAAACAGCGACAATAAAATCAGGAGTGTCAAAAAAATATCACCTTTTGGCTACCTAGAATCTTGAAGTAAAACTGCAAATTTGTTATCATTAACGTCTTCAACACTTTACTACACTTGTCCCGTAGATTACACAGATTTTTTTCATCTAAAAAAAAAAAAAAAGCAGATGAGATAAAATAGCTTGAATTATCTTTTTTTTTGCGCTTTTTCCATTACTGTTCTAAAATTGCATTTCATAGCGCTTTTACCTCATCTTTACTCTTCCCATCTCCCACTTCCAACCCACTTTACTACTCAGGCTTTATTAAACACAGCCTATAGGAGAATTATGAAATCATTATGAGCTATAAATAGACAGCAGTATGTGTAAATCTTTAGACACTGTATACCTTACATTTTGAAATGTGTCCCTATAAGGTATTTGTGAAAGGTCACTTCATTTCAATTTTTGCACACATAAAAGCAAATACACAGCTTTAATAGCGTTTTGACAGGTGTCACTTTATTGCCTCCTTGAGCTGCCAATCAAATAGACGGCTTAGACTACAAGACCTGACCAACTCTGATAACACACCGTTGCCACCAGATGAGCTCGCAATCCTGAACCAATAAGTCTTAGATTGATTTCAACAAGTTTCAACAATCAGTCATCATAAATTGCCATGACACTGCTATCTAAATTGAGTTCCTTGGTAATCATGTTAGTATTGAGAATGACATGTAATTTACCACTGCTGAAAAATTGAAAATGTAGATGTTGGTGGAAATTTGGAATAACCAGGTTCCCACTGTGAACTGCAGTGAGAAAAAAACTAGAAATGTAATATATAATCACAGAATGATCATTTACACCTGCAAACACCCAGAAACATTTTTTCTATTACATCAGATTTGTCTTTTTCAGAGATGTTCAAGAAACTGATAAAAAACTCAAAGCTTTAACTTCACAGCTGTTGGAAAAAACTGATTACTGCTGAGTAGTTTTGCAGAGGGAGGTTAACTTTTCCTTTGTGTAACGTCTTATTAAAACAAAAATAAAAGCATGCTTCTGTATCTTTCTTACCTTTACATGATGGTAGGGCTTTGTCCCATACTGGTTTCCCATCCTTTCCCATGACACACATAACGGTTTCACTACCGACTATCGTGTAGCCATGGTGACAGCTGTAGGAGACCTGAGATCCTAGTTTGTAGTCATAGCCTGTCCGACTGCCGTTCATGATGTTACCGGGGTCAAAACAGGCCTCTCTGGGTTTCTCTGTGGATGTGAAAGAATTTTTTGTGTTAGTTAGACACAGGTGTCGACTATTATAATGTCTTCTTTTCAATAACATTTTGATAATTTTCATAACAGTAGCAGTCTTAAAAAGTGTTGTACTAATTTTAAAGTGTTAAATTACCTTAGATTAAAAATACTTGATTTAGGAAAATACCTTAATCAATGATATTTATTGTTTTGAGTTATGAAACAGTTCTCATTAACATTACTTAACCAGGGATAAATAATCCGTGGGTGATGAAAATAATAAGGGACCAAACTAAAGTCAAAAAGTAGTAAAGAAAACAGAACAAAAATACAAGAGATGTGTTTGAAAAATAATTATCAGTCTTCTTTAAGAAATACCTATTCTAAACAACAGACTGAAAAGGTCAGACAGAGAGGGGTTAAGGAAGGAAAAAAAGCTTCAACTTGGAGAACATAAAGAGTATTTCAATGAGAGGGGGGCATATGAGAGGTAGTGAATAAATGCAAAATCACAGGCTTGGTAAATTTTGTAAATTACAACATAACCGAAGCTTTTAAAGTAGATAAATACAGGGAGAGAATAGAAGGAAGCAAAATAAATAGTCACTAGTGAGCCAAAGTTGGAGATCGACTAAAAGTATTAAATCATTAGTCACAATCTATGGACGTAAACAACTCTTGGTCAGACATGAAATGGCCTTCTCTCTCAGTTGAAAACAATTTCTGTTTGGGCTTAAAATAAAAAGAGCAGATAGATTCAAATATTATCCAGTCTGCATGAGAGCACAACCCACACTTGTGTATTGACATTTTAATTCTGACACTTTATAAGAAGATGATTTAGTGACAATTACTGCTAGGCGTCTAGTGCACAGAAACATGCAAATAGTTGTGAAGGGCATTATCTATCTTTTGTAACACAGTATTGATTTACCGTAACCAATAATTCCCACCTGATAATCACAATCAGTAGAACTAGATGAATTTACCAGATGTAGGTTGTACTTTAATTAAAGTCACTGCTATGTTCAAACCGGTTGTTTTTGATTATTGGTGCTACCTTATCAATGCAGTGCTCCCTAATGAATAAAGTTAGAAAGTTTACTTCTGCTACTAATTAATAACATTATTTCCCTTTTGTATTTAAGAATCCCAGATTGAACCTTAGTTTAAACAACATTGCTGTTTCAATTAGTACCAAGATAACAACTGGATATTGTTCCTTACTGATTTTGTATCATTTAAACTAAAACAGTTCTTTCTGGTGAAGAGGTATCCTTCCCTTTTTTAACACCTCAGGTTTAGTTCAAGCTCATGGTAAAAGCTGGTTTTCATGCTGCACTTACCTCTGTATTCAATGGCAAATCCGGACATTCCTAGAGATGCATCAGACCGAAATGCCAGAAACAGGCTGTTTCCACTGCTTTCTATGCGTTCAGGGGCTTGGGTGCCTTGAAGACTTGAAAGTAACGGCCCATTTGAGTCTTCACCCTCATAGATGTGCAGGAAGTCATAACTTGGCTCCATGTTGAAACTTCAGGAAAAAAAAGAAAAGAAAAGACAATCTAACTCATCAATCGGCTATGGCTGAGAGTTGATTGGACTATATCTAGTTTATTCTTCAGCTGAAAATCATCTTTTGTACTTTTACAGCATTAGAGAATCTTATGACAAGAAAGATATATGACTAACGACTGCTATTTAATTTGTTTACATATATGTTGATATGGTTGTTTAATAGACATAGATATTTTTTGTCCTATTCATTCCAAAAAAGTAAAAAACACTGGACTTTTTTTTTGGAATGACTATGACCTGGATGACTGGGAATCTTCACCAGCATATTTTCTAGGGATGCACAATATTGGGATTTTGGCCGATATCCGATATACCGATATTTTAAAACTCATGGAGCCGATAGCCGATATCGATACCGATGTTAAAGCTGGACAAAAATAAGTAGTCATTGAAAATAGCAGTTTTGTTATCCATTTCTGACACTTTGAAAAATAATATACTGAAATATATTTTCATATGCTGATATGAAATTGATTTTTAAAAACGCGGTATCGATCTATTTTACTTTCAAAATCTCAGGAAATTTCATCGTTCTGTTACAAACTCTCATGATATTTTGCAAATTCTTGTGAGATTTTGTTAGTAAAATAGATCGATACCGCATCAATATATCAACATATAAAAATTTGGCAACATTTCGTGAATTTTCGGGGGATTTCGTAGCATAACGAATGACATATAGCAATATTTCATTAGTAAAAGAGATTGATATGGTGATTTTAAATGTCAATATATCAGCATATGAAGATATTATGATATTTTAATGTTTTAATATTTTTTCCCTCGTCTTTAGAAGTTTTTAAGTCTGTAAAAAAGACGTTTTTGATGAAGAAGAAGAAGTAGTATATATACTTTTTTTAGACTTTAGAAACTCAGAAGCTGATCAAATATGGGGTTAACTATCGTGGGGTGGCCGATGTCCGATATTCAGTTTTAAGGCCGATACAGGCCGATACCGATAGGGGGCCGATTATAACGTGCATCCCTAATATTTTCCTTCTTATGCAATTATGCTTGTGTGGCTTTTGTAAAAGAAAAGAGGGAGATGTATCAGTGGAATTTGAAACTTGAAGTTGTAAACTCACAGAAACCGTAACAATTAAGCAACATAAGTATGCTCATTAAAAAATAAAAACGTGTTAGATAATACCGGCCCGTAAAACCCACTGGCTCAATCCCTATTTTTGGTAGAGATCATATACAATAATATCTACTAGAGTACCATAATGCAAAAAAATGACGGCCACAGTCATAAAATTAATTCATCTAGTTTACTGTAGCTATATAAATGATTTATTAAAAGGGCTAAGCTCAAACGGAGAGAAACCATCAAGATTATTTGTTCTAAACCTCAATGACTTTTAAAGAAACTTAATAACAGGTAGCTCCTATTTGAGTATAAAGGTAAAAAAATATTTTATATGATGGCTATATTTCAATTTTTCTGAGTTAAAATAAGTAATCTCAGATATGCTTAGCAGAACATCATTATTTCATAAAAAAACAAAAGGTGAGACCATAAAAATATGGTAAATAAAACTATCTACGAGGCTTTAAAATAGAAACCAAAACCAGATGATCTCTAATGAAATGGGGACAAATCTTGTAGAAAATTTAGCTATGATGACCAAAGAAGGTCTACAATGCAAGTATCATGACAATTTGAAGAAAAAATGGCATGGACTGCTGTAATCTGTCAAAGATAAAGTTAACTGGCCTACAGGAGAAAAAGCATTACATTTCTTGAACGACTAGAGGCTGCTTTTGGGTTGATGAGTTAGAGTTTTTTCAGGAAATGCCCAAACATTGAATTGAAGCCACATCACACTGCAAAGCTATGACGCTCAGGCATCATTCAATGGTTATCTTTCTTATAGTCAAGCATATCTTTTGCAGACCATTGATCATTGTTAGTTGATTTATATAAAAATATCTCAGAAGTTCATGTCATCTGACACTAAAGGGGAAACGGCATTGAAATTGACACATCTGAAGGTTAGCAGCAAGTTGGTTACAGACCAACAAGTAAACTTGAGGGGTGACATGAAACATGCTGCATAGAGGGAAAAAAAATGTGAAGGAACTATGGAAGTAGTCCAAATTGGTTCTCTGAATAGTTTTTCACAGATGCCAGATGTTGGTTGGCTTATTCATGCAATACTGTTTATAAACAGTGCTCCAAAACAGATGTTCAATGAATACCAAAAAGTTAACTTTTTAATTATTTTTAAGAATATGGAGTAAATGTTTAAACCCATATAGAAAAGGCAAAGTGGTAATTCTCTGGGCTGATGCAATGTTTTCCTCATCCGTACATTGTAGAATAACAAAAAATAAGCTAAAAAATATTTATGGTTTAATTTGGACAGTTTGTGCAGTGTTCCAAACTCTGTGTTAGAGATTATAATAATTATGAGCTTTACTCATTCTTTTAAACATATTTTTTGTATTGAACAAGACATGCACACACCCACAGATTCACAAACAAGAAAACATAGGACAACATATTTAATCATTGGAAAAAGGCCACAGAGCATTTTCACTTTGTAAAATTAGGAACAAAAAAACATTGAATATTAAGCTAGTAGTAAGCTCTAAGTTATTGGACCACAAAAAAAGGCTTTAGGTACCTATTCAAGAGTCTTTGTCAAATCTGTCAGCTTGCGCGACTGCTTGATAGGTGTTGAAATGTCTTCATAATATCTGAGTCCAAGTCTGGTTGCCTCCAATTTAGGCCTGTTTTGTGGGTGACTCATCAGTAACTAGGTCAAAATGTATTTTTTTGCTTAGTATCTGAAATTCATTAAAAAGCCAACATAAACTAGTAGCCGTTGAAGTGTTATATAACAGAAAAAAGCAAACATTTAAAATAAAAGTGTCTTAGCATCTTAAAAACAGTGATTTAACTTGCAAACACCAAAACATAAGTCAAAATTGGGTCATTTGTCTCTTTAGGCAATCTGCAGAAAGTCCTCTTCAGTATTTGCTGATTTGTTTCAATCCAGTTTCACTTGGGTAAACTGGGACTCTAAATATTCACCACTGTGCTGTAATTAGCACTGAAAATGTAAAAAAATTATACACTATTAAGAATAAACAAAACATTGAAATGATCAGATATTGAATTGTATCAATGCATGTGTTGCAGAGAAAAAAGAAGTATAACCCAATAGTTATAATACTCTACGGTTGTACGACAAAGATCAGCCAAGGAGATAATGTTTTCAACAGCATTGGTTTGTCTGTTTGCTTTTCTTTTTCAAAATAACTTATAAAACTATTGAAAGATTTTGTCTACATTTTCAGAGGAGCTGTGTATTGCAACTAGCAACAAATTATTAAATGTCAGCAATGATCCAGATCACAATATGACAGGGGAAATGAACTAGTTGCCACAGGTCTGCACCCTCCAAGTGCATTTCTTGTTTATATTTTTGTCCCAATTTTCCAAGCATTTTTTAAGGCTTCTTCCTCATGGGAAATTTTAATTTTGACATTGATATCATCTCAACATTCACCTTATATTAAACTAAAGAGAAATAAAAACTAACATGAAACTAGCACAGGGAAATTAGTTTTAGTGGTTGACGGGTCTAACTGATAGCTTTGGTGTTTCCTGAAACTTTGCTTTTTTCCCTATATCTCATCAAAATCTCAATTATTACATGTTTAGCTTTATCCTTCTCTCAGAGTGCAGATATTTTTGAACCTTAAGGACTAAAACCTTGTTCTGACACTGCCATGGTAACTTAAGAAAGAGAATTTCAAAGGAGCTTTTACAGCAAACGTAAAGCCTTTTAACAGTGGTCCCAGAGGAGAGAAGAAAACCTCTCAAAGACTTGGATATTAGTTACCTTAATGATCTTATGCTGAATGTTATTTCACATAAACTGAGCTTGATTTCTCAGGAGACATATCTTTCTGGATTCTGTGAGGGCCACAAATAGTCATGAAAACATTTAACTTAAAACACAGAAATTGATTAAAAAGACAACACAATGCTAAGGCAGTGCTACAATATTACATTTTTTTCATTATTCTTAGAAGTTTTAAAGATATGTATTTTAATGCTTATAATGTTTTATCCTCTGACTGGGAAATTATAAACAGTACTCATTAAATTGGTTTACAGAAAGATGAAGTAAGGTAGTCATCCCTTCTTTTAAATGTACTGTTTTTTTTTCAGTTAATTAATATGTGGACAATATATTCCTTAAAGGACAAAAAAGGACTTGTATACATTTTTGAGTAAAAGTGGTTTTGACTCTTTTTTTTACCAAAGAATGAATAAGGTAGTATAGTTAAGCCAAAATGTTCCTACCATTGGTTTATTTAGATTTATAATTATTATTTAAAAAAACAAAACAAGAAGATTTTTTATAATAGAAAATTATACTCCTATAAACCCAACAAGAGGTCTTAGCTTCAGAAAGTTTGTGTGTAACCCAAACACACAAGCAAAACGCGGCCGCACATCTGGTCTTCAATCAGCCAAAAAAGTCTTACGTCAGCCCTTTTGTTCTTTTAGCTTCACTGGTTATTCTGGCTGCCTGCATCAAATTCAAGTCCCTGATGCTTGCCTTCAAAGTGCATTAGGGTACGGCTTCCGTCTACTTGAACCCTCTAGCAAAGGCCTATGTCACAGTCTCAGACACACTCTGGTGAGCAATTGATTGTCGACTAACAGGGCCTACGTACACCATGGTTAAGGCAATCCAGACTGTTTTCCTGTGCGGTTCCAAGCTAGTGGAATGACCTACCAGGCGCTATGAGAACAGCAGCTTCCCTTTTTATTTTCATGAAACTAAAGATCTTAAAGGAATTATGTATTTGAGTATTTTATATTTTACAATACGACTTGGAATTATGGGTAATCCAGAGCTTTGATTACAAACATAACTGTAAAGTACAATGTGTTAGCGACGACGGATACCAAAATGAGGTACTTAAGCGGATTCCAGTAGAGAAAAAGGAAAGAGCTGCTGGAAGAATGGGAAAAAAAAAAAACTTCCCAAAATAGGTGGACATTGCTGCTACAGTGAGTGAAGATTGCGACCAGGGTTTGAATGGAAATTAAGTGTGTATGTATGTATGTGGCACGTTTCGTGTCGGGTGTTGGCGGCGGGGGGGTTGCTGTTATGCATAAGGGGAATATCTTTTGTTTACTAAAATGCACAAATCCGTTAAATTTAACTATTAAGCTCACTGTTCCCGCATTGTAAACTAATTCTCGCTTCTCCAGTAAGGTCAGGGAAGTGACTCATTTAGCAGCAAATCTTCCCAGGGCAACAACTGCTCTTTTGTTAGTGACTTTGTTCAGCCTTCAGAAATGGGGTGATACGACAAAAAAATTGAATAAAACAACTTTATTCTGTAACAAATATATACCCCTGTAGTGCTACAGGGAATATTTGATCATATATATGCTTATAGGTGAAATTTAAAGGCATAAAAGACATTAAACAGGACCTTGGAAATGTTTACATTTAATATACTGGGCTGAAAAAAATGAAGCCTTTACATAACTTATTTTTGTCAAAATATTTACTTGCCTTAATGCATGTTGTCAAAACAACATGGTCTAATTTAATTAGACTGTAGATATATTTTATAAGGGATCCCTCCAAAAAGACACATGCAAAGTGGGTGAGCCACCAAGATATAGCAAAGAGGACCAAATTAACAGCAGGAAACCAACATTTCTGTGAGTTAATGGCCTACCTTTTGAAGATAAGGGCAATGACAAAGTCAGGATTGACTGTGATTCTCCAATCGCACTCTTTTCCAGGGGGGTATGGTTGTGGGTAGTTCGGAGAAAGAATCACACCTGAAGGACCGCTGACATTACCCCCACAGGTTGCTGGAACAATAACAAGCAATAAGAGAAACAGAAAGATGCAAGAGATTGTTCAAGTCTTGAATTTACTCTTATTTGGAAATATGAGTACTGGTTGTTCCCCAAATTATCTCACAAGTATAAAAGGTAGGAAATGAGTTAGGTATATAGTACAGGAGAGGTTTGTTAAAGAAGAGGAAATGACACCTTGCAGACAAATTTTGCCACCACAGGTGGTTGTAGATGGTAAAACACTAACATAGAAAGACAGATGGTGAGATTTAGTCACAGACTGTGGGGCTGGGGGTAGTTAGAGAGAAAAAATCACCTCTGGCAGTGCTGTGAATTCACATTTAACCATGGAGCAGGAAGGAAATAATGTCATGAGAGTTCTAAAAGATGCATTCAAGCAACAATTTGGTAATGTGGAATGGAGATTTCTAACATGGTGAGGTGTCTTCATGGAATACATAAACACCATTATTACCACTGAAATAGTGGTAATCAAAAATATTAGCAGTTGCAAATTACTGACAGACTCAAAACTAATACAAAAACACTACAGTGGAGTACTGCGTCTAACAGTATGTGATGTGTTTAATCATCAGTGTATCAAAGCATAAAATATCATCCTCCCTAAGTACTGATGAAGGTGAGGGATGTTATAAATATGAATTAAGATTTAAGACCACATTCTTATGTGAGAAAAGAACTGACAATTAGTAACTATGTTTAACAAGACTGATTAGAAGACAAACTCTTAATACCCAATTGGTACAAATGGACTTTTCCTCAGTGTGCTAGTTTAAAAGAAGAAGAAGGAAAGAGACATCTAATGTAAAAATAGGATGAATCTGCATGTTCCCTTGCTGAGTCAGCTCTTGAGTGATCAACATGTTACTTGCTGCCGGTCATTCAACTGGCTTACTGACGTTAGTCATTTTATGTTTTTAGCTATGGATGAAGTCATCCTTCTTTTCTCTCGCCATTTAGTGATAATAATTTCCGAACGTCAGGACATTTGTTTATGAGTCTCAGGTGAGCTCATTTCATTACTAATAAACAGTCTTAGATTTCTTCCTACCAAATTTAATTAAGATTTTTTTTCTATCATAACTTCCATAATGAAAATGACAAATAATATAATTTAATTTTCAAAAAACAACTTTGGTTTCACTGATTCCCTTTGGGAGGTGACCATCATTTAAAGGGTATGAAATCAAAGCTGTGAAACCTGTTTGTAAAATAATCATGTTTCACAAAAAACTGTAAAATTATAACATACTAAATGTTGGCCAATAGTAGTATTAAAGAGTTTTAGTTTCATTTCACTAGGGTGCAGTTCATTGTGACAGCCTACATGAGTTCTTGGCATTGAAACTCCAGTGCTAATGACAGAAAGCCTTTACAAAAAGAAGTGACAAGGGCAGAAGTCACTGAGGGCTTAATCCCCTCTTTAGAGACAATTTCCAAAGACGGAGTTAAGAAGAAAGCCCTCACTATTTCAAAAGATTCTTTCTACCTTTTACTTGGCTTGTTTAATCTCCTGCGAATTTGGGAAAGGACGTTATACTGTATTACAACACTAAAAACATCCCACATGTGCATCTGCCTCATGTCAAATGATAACCTTGCACTAAACTTTCACTAGAGATTGTGGCTATTTGACTTTTTCAATTTGAAAGGTATGAGTATACTGATTGTATCAAAAGCTGTCATATTAATATAAACAAACAAAGATCATGATTTAATTCCCTTCTATTTTGTTATAATTTAGCTTTACTGTTGTTGTTGTGTCCATATAATGGGGAATATGTCTAATATATATTTCCATTGCATATGATTAAACATTTACAGTATTTTCCGCACTAAAGAGTGCACTTCAGTATAAGCTACATCCACTAAGTTTTTTTTTTTTGTTTTTTTTTTGGAAACGTACGTAAGTAAACCACACCATGCTAGGAGCTGCTGATATCTACAGGTGCTGGTCATAAAATTAGAATATCATGAAAAAGTAGATTGATTTCAGTAATTCCATTTAAAAAGTGAAACTTGTATATTACAGGTGCTGGTCATAAAATTAGAATATCATGAAAAAGTAGATTGATTTCAGTAATTCCATTTAAAAAGTGAAACTTGTATATTATATTCATACATTACATACAAACTCATATATTTCAGATGTTTATTTTGTTTAATTTTGATGATTACAAATGACAACAAATGAAAATCTCAAATTCATCATATCAGAAAATTAGAATATTGTGAAAAGGTTCAAAATTGATGGCCCCTGGTGCCACACTCTAATCAGCTAATTAACTCAAACCACCTGCAAAAGCCTTTAAATGGTCTTTCAGTCTAGTTCTATAGGCTACACAATCATGGGGAAGACTGCTGACTTGACAGTTGTCCAAAAGACGACCATCAACACCTTGCACAAGGAGGGCAAGACACAAAAGGTCATCGCTAAAGAGGCTGGCTGTTCACAGAGCTCAGTGTCCAAGCACATTAATAGAGAGGCGAAGGGAAGGAAAAGATGTGGTCGAAAAAAGTGTACAAGCAAGAGAGATAACCGCACCCTGGAGAGGATTGTGAAACAAAACCCATTCAAAAATGTGGGGGAGATTCACAAAGAGTGGACTGCAGCTGGAGTGAGTGCTTCAAGAACCACCACACACAGACGTATGAAAGACATGGGTTTCTGCTGTCGCATTCCTTGTGTCAAGCCACTCTTGAACCACAGACAGCGTCAGAAGCGTCTTGCCTGGGCTAAAGAGAAACAGGACTGGACTGCTGGTGAGTGGTCCAAAGTCATGTTCTCTGATGAAAGTAAATTTTGCATTTCCTTTGGAAATCAAGGTCCCAGAGTCTGGAGGAAAAGAAGAGAGGCACTTCATCCACGTTGCTTGAAGTCCAGTGTAAAGTTTCCACAGTCAGTGATGGTTTGGGGTGCCATGTCATCTGCTGGTGTTGGTCCATTGTGTTTTCTGAGGTCCAGGGTCAACGCAGCCACATACCAGGAAGTTTTAGAGCACTTCATGCTTCCTGCAGCTGACCAACTTTTTGGAGATGCAGATTTCATTTTCCAACAGGACTTGGCACCTGCACACAGTGCCAAAGCTACCAGTACCTGGTTGAAGGACCATGGTATCCCTGTTCTTAATTGGCCAGCAAACTCTCCTGACCTTAACCCCATAGAAAATCTATGGGGTATTGTGAAGAAGAAGATGCAATACACCAGACCCAACAATTCAGAAGAGCTAAAAGCCACTATTAGAGCAACCTGGGCTATCATAACACCTGAGCAGTGCCACAGACTGATCGACTCCATGCCACGCCGCATTGCTGCAGTAATACAGGCCAAAGGAGGCCCAACTAAATACTGAGTGCTGTACATGCTCATACTTTTCATGTTCATACTTTTCAGTTGGCCAACATTTCTATAAATCCTTTGTTTTTATTGGTCTTCAGTAATATTCTAATTTTCTGATATGATGAATTTGAGATTTTCATTTGTTGTCATTTGTAATCATCAAAATTAAACAAAATAAACATCTGAAATATATGAGTTTGTATGTAATGTATGAATATAATATACTAGTTTAACTTTTTAAATGGAATTACTGAAATCAATCTACTTTTTCATGATATTCTAATTTTATGACCAGCACCTGTATATTCATACATTACATACAAACTCATATATTTCAGATGTTTATTTTGTTTAATTTTGATGATTACAAATGACAACAAATGAAAATCTCAAATTCATCATATCAGAAAATTAGAATATTACTGAAGACCAATAAAAACAAAGGATTTATAGAAATGTTGGCCAACTGAAAAGTATGAACATGAAAAGTATGAGCATGTACAGCACTCAGTATTTAGTTGGGCCTCCTTTGGCCTGTATTACTGCAGCAATGCGGCGTGGCATGGAGTCGATCAGTCTGTGGCACTGCTCAGGTGTTATGATAGCCCAGGTTGCTCTAATAGTGGCTTTTAGCTCTTCTGAATTGTTGGGTCTGGTGTATTGCATCTTCTTCTTCACAATACCCCATAGATTTTCTATGGGGTTAAGGTCAGGAGAGTTTGCTGGCCAATTAAGAACAGGGATACCATGGTCCTTCAACCAGGTACTGGTAGCTTTGGCACTGTGTGCAGGTGCCAAGTCCTGTTGGAAAATGAAATCTGCATCTCCAAAAAGTTGGTCAGCTGCAGGAAGCATGAAGTGCTCTAAAACTTCCTGGTATGTGGCTGCGTTGACCCTGGACCTCAGAAAACACAATGGACCAACACCAGCAGATGACATGGCACCCCAAACCATCACTGACTGTGGAAACTTTACACTGGACTTCAAGCAACGTGGATGAAGTGCCTCTCTTCTTTTCCTCCAGACTCTGGGACCTTGATTTCCAAAGGAAATGCAAAATTTACTTTCATCAGAGAACATGACTTTGGACCACTCACCAGCAGTCCAGTATTGTTTCTCTTTAGCCCAGGCAAGACGCTTCTGACGCTGTCTGTGGTTCAAGAGTGGCTTGACACAAGGAATGCGACAGCAGAAACCCATGTCTTTCATACGTCTGTGTGTGGTGGTTCTTGAAGCACTCACTCCAGCTGCAGTCCACTCTTTGTGAATCTCCCCCACATTTTTGAATGGGTTTTGTTTCACAATCCTCTCCAGGGTGCGGTTATCTCTCTTGCTTGTACACTTTTTTCGACCACATCTTTTCCTTCCCTTCGCCTCTCTATTAATGTGCTTGGACACTGAGCTCTGTGAACAGCCAGCCTCTTTAGCGATGACCTTTTGTGTCTTGCCCTCCTTGTGCAAGGTGTCGATGGTCGTCTTTTGGACAACTGTCAAGTCAGCAGTCTTCCCCATGATTGTGTAGCCTATAGAACTAGACTGAAAGACCATTTAAAGGCTTTTGCAGGTGGTTTGAGTTAATTAGCTGATTAGAGTGTGGCACCAGGGGCCATCAATTTTGAACCTTTTCACAATATTCTAATTTTCTGATATGATGAATTTGAGATTTTCATTTGTTGTCATTTGTAATCATCAAAATTAAACAAAATAAACATCTGAAATATATGAGTTTGTATGTAATGTATGAATATAATATACAAGTTTCACTTTTTAAATGGAATTACTGAAATCAATCTACTTTTTCACGATATTCTAATTTTATGACCAGCACCTGTACTGAACTGTCCCCAACTAAACCTGTAGGGGGAGCTCTAACTATCACTCCTAAAGTAGGGACATAAAAAGAATGCTAGTTCCCGTTAACGAGTTGGCTTACTCATCAGAGCTTCAATTGAAAGATGGAGCTTAGTTATCGCATTTCATCTCTGCAGGAGTTACACACCGTCTCTTTATTGCTTTTACAGCTTTAATTCAGCGAATAAATGTAAAATTGCTGACATTTTTTGCACATTGTGTTTGCTCTATCATGGGCTAAGAGAAGATTTACACCTTCTTCATTAATTTCCTTTTTTTTTTTTTATTAATTAATTAATTTTTCTTCGTCTTTGGTTTTCAACTTTGACTTTGGTCCCCTGGCAGTAACAAAAACTCAACAGAAAAGCTGCACCATCTAATATGCCGCATGGTTCAAAGCTGGACGAAAAAGTAGAGGCTTATAGTGGAACCAATTCTTAAAAAAGAAGAAAAAAAAAAAAACAGTAACAAGAGTACAAATCTAAGTACTGTAAAACAAACACTAGACAGGAAACTCTTCCTACACTTCCTACCTGGATAAAATAAGGAGGACCAAATCTGACATAATCAAAAAATAAATACAGAAACAAATAAATGTGCAATAGGCATATAATTAAATGCACCAAAAGAAACGTTGGCCCCTACAGGCACTAGTACAGTGAATTTAAACTTTAGCGCCACTGAAGGCAACTGGCAACACCTCGCTGATCTATCAAACAGTTTTTTGGAATCTGAAAGCAGACTACTTTAGACCAAAGACTTGCAAAATATCTGGTTAGGTAAGTGTGACATCTTTTTTGATACCCAACAACAAGTTTTAGCTTAGTTAGCTCACATACTTAAGGGGAGGTCAGACTGCTGTAAAGCAGCTCTCTGGGACAGTGACTCATTCAACAATGAATGTAATACTTCCTTACAGAATATTGAGATAAAAAGTTTTTTAATGCATCTCAAATTACATCAAAACTTGGATTATAACTTGCAGAGTGCGGCTGTATTGGATAACCTTAAAACAATAAGGTTATCTATTTATTATAATTCTTTCTGCTAACTATTATTGTTAGGGGAGCCCATACAAGCTCTAGGCCTAACTGAATCCAAAGGAGCATGCCATTTTGGAGCTGATTCTCCAGCAGCAGCATGGTGTAATTTAAGGGCGACTGGGTTGGACCATTCACAAGCTTGATGGAGAATCAATTCAACTGTATTGATTTATTGTTGTGCTGCAGCAGAAGACCTCTGAAGATGTGTAATAATTAGAGCACTTTCTAATTTTCTCAAACATCCAGAAATGACCACTCATTACCAGATGTTTGTCATATTATATTGAGCGCATTAACGCTCGACCGTATAGAGAATGATGAGAGTTAATGTTTATATAAACTGAGATTTGACATAAATGATTATCCTCATTTTAGGGAAATATTCTTACACATGATACCCTGGGAAAACAGGAAGTGAAATTGTGTCTTGTAAGCTACTAATTGAACGATGAGGATATTTATTTTTTTAACTTAAGTAAAACATCCTTATTCCCACAATTAGCTCGCTAGGATTAGGTTGGAGACTGAAACAGTGCTCCCGATGCAGAGGCTGCAGTTTCCGTCTCGAGACTCGAGGATAACTAGTTCGGCAGACAACTGAACATCTGTGGCCATATGTGCAGCTAACTGAAACACATGTTGTGTCAAAGCAACCACACCACAAGTTAAGTTAGGAATTATAGCATGGCTTTCTAATAAAGATGGTAAATGCCTAAGCTCAGCTTAGTGATAAACTCGTAAAAGGAAGCCATTGTTGTGACTCTAAGAACTGATAGCATGTGGATTCTATGTTTCCAACCAAACATTAGGCAGAACCTGTCCCCTTAACACCGTTTTTTGTATAATAATGAAGAAATGCATCAGAAATTTAAAAAGTACAAACAGACAAGACAGAGTTGAAACAATAAATTGGGTGAAAATATGCAAATGACAAAACCGACAAAAATATAAAAGCATACACAGAAATAAATACATTTAAAAAATAGTAATAAAAAAATAATGAAATTTGTAATGATAATAAGAGGATCAGATAATAATTACGAAGGTGAATAAATCAATAAATCAGTTTAGAGATGTATGTTTCTTATTGTGTAATTAATTGCTGTGCACATATTTTCATTTGCTGTATCTTTAGTGCATTCAATTGCTATTTAATTCAATGGCCATTTATTAATTTCTGTATCTTTTCCATAAAATAATTATATTGAAGTTGGTCTTGAATAAAGAAATGCTGAACTTGGTATGAGTGTTTTTTATACATATCTCTTATGTAATCAAGTATTGGTTAATCTTGAATGTTCAGTCAGTCTCATTGCAATTAATAAACTTGGAGTGTTTTACACCTACCCATACAGGTTGGTGGATCTGGTTGCCAGTAGAACCTGTTATCCATCCGGACACATGTGATGGTGTCTTTCCCTTGTAGCTGATAGCCTGGGTCACACTGGAATGTCATGCTGTCACCAGGCTCCTTACTGTCTCCATATCGAGATCCATTTACAGGGATACCAGGGTCATTGCAGGATGTTGCTGTTGTGGCTGAATAGTTAAAAAAGGCAAAAATAAATAATGGTACATAGTATATTTTATAACATTTAATATTACCATTATTTACAGTGAGCTATTGAGTATGGCTCTTTTAATGATGTTATGCTAAATAATGTGTCGGGTTTGCCAATTACTTACAGTTTTGAAAATTACTCAAAATAGACGAGAAAGGACAATTTAGTTGAAAGATCAGTGCTAATATTAATTTAATTCTAAAACCTTTGCCTATTTGATTAGAGTAATGTGCTAGTAAGTCAACATGGGTGTAAATATAAGGAATCATTAACATAGTAATGGAATCACAGTGCTTTTATTACCATGTCAGAAAGAGTAAATATTTATTGTTTTAAATGTGGGGTTTATAGGGTTGGGCAATAGAGAATGTGAGATGAAAAGTACTGTGTAAATACCAATGGCATGTTGTAAAAATCCCAATGGAAACACCTCACAAAAATAGGGAATATATATATATGCCTTTCCATTGATTCCGTTCATTTATAACCTATTTCTACAGTCTAGCCATGACCCTTACCCTAAACTTAACCATTACAGGTTAATACCTAAAGGCCTAACACACTGGTTGCGTAAGACTTTTTAAATCTTCGATCCAATTTTTTTCCATGTCACACTGAATGCGTATAGAGAGGCTCTAACTAGGTCTGTGTTGATTTTATTTTCACTTCTGTCACTGTGTCACATAAGTTATAACAGTTTCCCACATTTGACCCTGACAGGTTATAAAAAGTTATTAAAAATAAATAGAAAAACACTGGAGCAGCTATAAAGAAAAGCCCCATCTAACGAGCCTCTGTAGCATCTCAAACCAGAACTGATGGAGCATGTTCATATGTATGTATTAAAAATATAAGAACTACCTCTAAAGAAAAGAAAAGCACAGCAATAAACACTGTGGGATGGTTTATGTGGTGACTGAGGCAGTGAGAGGTGATTCTCAGAGAGAGATCTGGGAAGTTTCTCAGTTTTTTTTTTTTTTTCATAAAGAGGTGAGAGTGAAGGGTTTCACTTACCTGCACTGTCTGCTCCTCATTATTTTGTTATTTGTGAGGCTCACTTTTTACTATATCCGTTTTCCATCCTGATCTTTTTTTTTTTTTCAAAGAGATTGATAAACTGCACTTTCTGTCCCTCATTGCTTTTGCGGGGCTCAAAGAAGATCACTACTTTATCCGTTTTCTGTCCTGCTGAACACCTATCATGGAAAAAGTATTTTTTAAATGTTTCATTGATTATTTTTGCAGGAGTCTCTCCCACTAGCTATATACGTGATATGCGACTCCAAAACTGACTGTTTTCCCCTGCAACTAAGTTTATATTTTGTATTTTCGCCCAAAACGGAAGTGTTTTACTTTGTCTTTTCCTCTGTGATGATCCTCATCGACTTTCAAAGGGCGCTAAATGCCCCTCTGTCGGATCAAATGCAAAATTGGATTCTGTGTGTTCAGGGCTTAAACCTAACCCCAACCTAAGCTCAATTTACACCTTAGCCCTAAATGTGACCCCTGGCTTTAAAACAGCAATACCCTTCATATGGTCCAGACATCGGGCCCCACAAAAAGCATTCAGTCCCCACAATGCACTATTCTTCCAGAAAATGGGTCTCACAATGTATCAAGAACACACACACATACTCACACACACACAACCTAATCCTTCAAGTTCTTGCTTTAGGAAGCATATTCTGCTTTTAGGAGGATTGGCTATATCCCAAATTAAACCATAGATCTCTAAGGGCTCCCCTCAGCCACCTCATTGATGTGTGTTGGTCTCTAGGTGATACATAGAAATATAAATTTGTTCTCTAGCTGGATGTTTTCTAGAAATACTAGTATATATTGTGTTAATGCCATACAGTATTAACTATTTTATTGGTATGATAGATTGGGTTTATAACATAACCTCAAACTGCCTGGGTTTGCTAATTTGCTAATTAAATTGCTAAGTCAGTAGCTGGCTTTCCTTTTTATGGGGTTATGAATTATAAAGCAAAGCAGATGGCATAAGTCAGGATTTGATGTGATGATCATGATACATTTTAAGTTTAATACAAGGAAATATTTTGCATTTAATACTTAGTTTTATGAGTTTAAGTTAAAATCAAGCTGCTTACTAGAGAACTGTATAGAAAATCCTTGCTTGCTGATAAAATAATCAGCATCAAACTGCAGAGTGAGGATGTTGAAAGTCGAGTGGATGTCTTCAGGTAATGCAGGGCCAGACCATTCTTTCAACAGAATCCCACCATCTGAAGGCCCCGATGGGCCGTCCCAGACTCTCAGAATGTCATGGCCAACCTCAGTGTCAAAGACAATGAAGTGAAGGCTGAAAAAAAGAACACAGTCCAACAAAACTTAATTAACAAATTAATTAACAACACCAGAAGACAACATGTGTCAGGAGGTGCCATAATCTGCCGAAAAGCATAGTTGGGGCATAATGAAAAGAGGATCGTATTCAAACACACCAGTAGTTTTGACAGTTCGCATTTCTTTCTTAGAACATAACATTTGTTTACAATCTTGTTAGCTTTAATCTTCTAAGTCAACTACTTTTAACTCCATTAGAGTAGCTGCTTTATACCTGATAGTCTTGCCTGTGTCAGCCTCTATTGTCCAGGTACAGTGGAGGTTATTGTCATATGGAGCAGGGTATCCAGGGGAGAGAATCCGTCCAGACACGGCCCCACTTATGTGACCTCCACACTCCGCTACAAACACAGTACAGTAGAAATTCACTCTACATTTTATATATATTTAAAGTATAGCAAATAGAAACACTTTGCCAACAGAAAAACAAAAGTATTTTACATAGATAAATGTTCTACTTGCAAAATATAAATATAAAATTTTTTTTTATACTTACAAACATTACCTGTAAACATTACTTCTAAACATCAAAACCAATTTTTATTGTTATAAGAGTTATAAATACAGCCCATCATATGCCAGCAACTCATTTAGCCATGTATTTCGAAATTAGGAAACTGTGAAGGGAGCTTCTGAAGTTGAAAAGGCCGCATCAAAATGGTGACAAACGGGGATTTAATTTATTTTGAATATGACATGGTTAGAAATGGCAGATGAGTTGGTCTAAGCATTTTCAAAAACTGCTGAGCTACTGGGATTCTACTGCACAACTAAGAGAATATTGGGATTGTTCCAAAATAGGAAAATATATACTAATTGGCAGTGAAGTGGAAAAAATCATTTTAGATGTCAAAGTTTAGAGGAAAATTGAACTGGTATAAAATGACAGAATTACAGCAGTGACTCAAGTAATCAATTGTGACAGCAAAGGAATCAAGGATGTTTTTTTTCCTGACATAAAATGCATGGACCCTTTAAACATATGCAGTACAGTCATAAAGGGCAAAATAGTTTAAATTTGTATTTAAATAGCTTAGAATTAGAAACCAAGGCTAAAATCTGAACTATCTCAGAAAGATTAGACACTCTAGATAACTAAAATGCTGCATAGTTAAAGTAAACTTTGTCTAAGTTGTCATTCAGTGCAAACCATGTACAAGTATGGTTCTATACTGCCCCATCTTAACAGTTCTGGCTAATGGTGATGTCATTTTGTGGAAGATTTTCTGTGCACACTTTATTCCCTTAGCACCAATAGAACATCATTCAAACTTTACACCCTACCTGACAATTTTGTTGGTCATGTTCACCCCTTGTTATCCCTTTGTAGCCCATATTTTTTCTTGTTTTATGGTGCTGTCTTTCATTCAGATAAAGCACCATGTTAGAGAGCTCAAACAGTTTCCAACGTATTTTTTGAGCATATTAGTGGCTTCAGTGTAATCAACCTTTTGTAGTCACCAGATTCCACATCTACTAAGTAGCTTTCACATATGGTGGGACGGGAGGTCCATAACAAGGCTGTGCAGCCATCAAGAATACAGCAACCTTTAAAAAGTCCATATTAGCCCAAATCTGTAAAGAATATAACAACTTATTGAATTTGTGCCACAAATACTAAGGTTGATCTGAAAGCAAAACAGGCACCCACCTTTTACTAGAAAAGTGGCCAGTGAGTGTATAGTATTTTTTTGTTAGTTGTGTGTCTGAGTTTAGCTTTCAATTAATAGAGGGTCTAAAACTAAATGTATGAACTTTTAATATGTTAGAACCCAATTACCATATTGCTTCATTTCTAAAGCTTGAAATAAACTCTGCAAGAGCTAAGAACAAAGTTGTTTCCCTTTGAATACGTGTTTTTGTGAGAAGCTCAGTTGCAGAACCCAATAAATGTCCGGGCACAGAAGCTTATGTCACATCTGCAAAATAAAACAAAACAGCAGCACAGCAACATAGTTGGCATTTTGAAACTGATGAGTAGGAAGACAGCAAAATGGCTTATATTACTTAGAAGAAATGTATTTTGTGTATATATCTTCTCATCGTCTCTGCCAGCTGATCCTCAAACTATCCGGAGTTTGGCACCTGTAATAAAAGGGTGATTTCTGACTTTAAAAACAAATTGGGAAAAATCATTTCCCTTTTCTTACTTTGCAATCTGATCCATACCTGGACCAACTGCACAACTGTTCTCAGATGTCCTAGGAGACAAAAGTTATATCTAAATGTGTTCAATAATAGGCAGCAAGACCCCCAAGAAAGGACTTACAGAACAAAATGATATAATTCACTTCAGGATTGAGAACAAATGTATTTTCTCAAGACTTAAAAGCAGCTGCTTACATTTTTGGTGCAAATAATATTAAGATGTGTTGGGTTTCATGGAAACCAAATCTAAAAAAACACCTCTTATTAAATCTACCTTGTTTTTTGTCTTTGAAGGTTAAGGGAAACATTTGATAGCTGTTATTCCGTAACAGTTATTCTATATGGCTTACATGTCTGGGGAAAATGCTACTTTACCACTAAAGAGGCATGAGTCTTATCTTATTCTGTGCTTATATTTAGTCTAAGGGGAAAGCTGGGTTACTAAGAAGCAGAAAGGAAAGCTACAGGCAAATACAGAATCATTGTTGTGGTATACAGTACCCATGGTGGCTCACTGATCCAGGATATCCCTGGTGATAAGAAAAGTATTTTGTACAGAGCAGGTTTTGTGTATTTGTGTTGTGTGTATTTCTGCTAGTTCTGCCATAATCACTGCCTGCATATTTGCGTCTACAGTAATTTCATATAGAAATACATTTAAATGTATAGAAAGCTCTGTTTATGGTCTGTCCGCACAACTCAAAGACACTACTGAGTAGAGCAATAGAACTACTATGAATAGCTGAAACTGAGGCTTACCTGATATATAAAAGGGAACATGCAGACCCAGAGGACACTAGCAAGCAATGAAGAATGACATTAGGTTAGCACAAAGCAGGATTGGCATATGGGTTAACCAATTGTGATGACTCTGTCAGGTGACTTATCAAGCTGCTGCAGGGATGGTTTAGACTTGCAGCAAGTAGTCATTGGGATTTTCATTGGGATTTTTTTCACAGAGTTTAAAATAAATACCGTAAATTCTCTAATATTGGCCTGTATTCCAATAGCGGCCGGGACTCTAACATTGGCCGGTCTCGCTGTCAGAGGAGGTAAATAATGGCCGGTCTCTAATACAGGCCGGGGCTATAAACGTTTTTTCTGGGCATACCTCAACATTATACTTGTGGTAGTAAGTAACAAACAAGTACCACAGCCCTGCGCAGCTGGACGACAGGCCCTGACTGCTGCCCGTCTGTGCGAGGAAGAGAACAGACACGCAGCAGAACAGGAGGAGCGCGAGTGATGAGGAGATTAAAGGGAGAGATGAAGAGGAGGAGAAAAACTGAGGAGGAGAATTAAACAGAATTGGAGGATTTTTTTTTTTTTTTTTTTACTTCAAACCAAGCGAGACATGGTAACTGTACTTTTTCAATAAATGAACCTAGTGTTTTATAGGTTCAAATAGACACAAAATCTCATTTTTATTCATTCCACTGGTAGTCTGTTTTGCTCAAATAGCAATAGAGGCCTGTCTCTAATTCTGGCCTCTATCCAATAAAGGCCTGGACCGCGATGCACTTGAGTGAAATAAAGGCCCGGGCCTATATTAGAGAATTTACGGTATTTTTAAATCAGGTCCCCGTGTCTTTTTCCATCTTTCGTCACAATCCCAGAGCCAGATCCTGACACCAATAGATGAGACGATTCCATCGGTTCATTTGTATAGTGGCTCTGTTTGTTTATCTCTTAGCTTTTGTTATGCATTTCTGCTAATAAGCTGTGTGCTTGAAATAAGCACATAGGCTACATTCACACTGCAGCCTGAAGTGACCCAAATCAGATGTTTTTGCCTATACGTGACCTGTATCTGATCTTTTCATGATACTCTGAATATGATACAATGGTCACTATTCTGCATCTTGCTATGCAGAAGCAGGAAGAAAAACATCAACCATGGTGGACAAAAATGTGGACAACAGTCTTTATGTTAAACCTCCTTGAAAATACCTCTACCGTGCATGTGGTACACTTAAGTTGTATGAATGCTGTTCACACAGAAGATCACATACAAGTCACATATATTTGGAAATGAGAATGACCATGCTAATTTTTTACATAAAAACAATCTGAATTGAGCATTAAGGTCTGCAATCTGTACATAGCCATAGATCCTAATGCAGATACGCTGCTTCTGTTTGAAATCATTTATGTGTGTCTGTCTTATCAGAATCAATCCAGTACTGTTTTTTTGTCTGTCTTTTCGTTGCTTTTTGGAGGCCTGAGACGGTATGAAGGAAGTGGATTATGCTCATAAAAATAGCAGTGAATGCCTTTAGAGGACCAGGATGCTAGTAGAACCCAATCTGCAGTTCAGAAGATGCTCTTCTCACCAGGAGACTGCAGCAAGCAGCTCTGAGGCTGCAAGTCTCTAACAGATACGGAAAGTTTATGTTGTGCTCCTCTCAGTTAAACTTTTAATATAACTTTAGCAAACTTCACAAACAGTTTTTTGAGAATCACCTTTAACTGGTCCCATCCAGTTGTAATCCATTCTGCAGTCTTGTGGTTACCTGTATTAAATGTAATCTTTTTATATGTATTTAAATCCTTTAACTGTTCTGCAGATCTTTAAGAGCATCATAGTTGCATCAAGGTGGTTATGACGATTTGTAGCTGATTTGTATTTTGACTGAGTGTTACTGCAACCAAGTGACAATAACCATAACTTTGTTTTTTTCACATTTAGGAGCAGCATCTGCTGAATATTTCTTTTGTTTTTTACTCACCAAGTCACATCTGGGATATTGTTTTAATTTGGGGGCAACAGAACAGAAATAAGAAATTATGGCCTTGTTCTGAACAACATAACAGTTGGTGGTTACAGATTAAGTAAGGAAGAATAAAAACAAATGGGCAAGAATCAATAACATAAGTGCAAAATTTCAGATGGATTCTGGTTAATTTTTACCAGTTCAGGCTTGATTAAATGTATCTGTAATGAATGGTATAGAAGTCACTTGTGTTTAAGACTCAAAGTTCTCTTAGGCAAAAGGTCCTTATAGTTATTTTCTTCTGCCATTTTAAAGATGTTCTCCATAGATAATAAAGTATTTTCTCCTGTTTTTGCTCTACCAGCGATCCATATAGCGATATGGACATTGTTTCAATTTGTAGGACTGATACAGAAGTGAAAAATGCAGCAAATTACCACACACATCGGGACACCTGGCAATCAGTGTTTTAATTAAATGCCTCTCACTCACTAATAAGAATTACTTGTAATGTCAGACTTTTCAAATTCCTTTGCAGCTGATCCTCAGCCTAAAATAAAACTTAATAAGAATATCCCAGTCCATTGTGTTGTTTTGGACGATAAGCTTCTGCATCAAGAAAGAAAACAGAGATAATGATTTGTATCAATAGTGGGATGTCTGCTATCTCAGAGAATATTCTGGCAATGACATATGCCGACCTTGGAAAAATGCTTCATTCACTTTGGAGGTACCGGTACTACTGATATTCAGAAGAGTAAATCAAAAATGTTAAAGGAGGAATTCATTGGTCTGCTTAATAAAGCTGAAGATCTTAATAGCAACATGTTTCTCAGTGGACCAGTCGCACCTGTTCACTGCTTTTGAGACTTTTCAAAATTCATAAGCGGTTGAAAAAAAGCCTGTGCAATGTTGGACCTTCATCAACAACTTTAGCATTTTCTGAGAAAAATTTATCTTTTCAAGAAAGACGATTTATGTCTGAAAAGGTCTGGAGCAAAGCAGTTGAGATTTCTCTATGAATCACACTAAGCTATGACCTTGAACAAAGCACATTGAGAGTAAATGATTGGAGCAGTACAGCCCATTCCAGTCAAGATAAACATAGTCAGAAAGATAACTTAAACCTTATCACAACTCGTCTCCTTGGTGAATCCCACCAGACAAAAGGACGATCCCTTGTTTCCCCAGCAGATGGTCCTGGGCTTCCCTCCCCAAAAACTCCAACCAAGAGTGCTACCTATGCTCCACTGTCTCAAATATCTCTGTCCACATCCAGCCCTCCTCCACTGGACTACATATATGTACAACATGAAAGAGACATTTAAGATTGGACAAAATGTAACTCTTAGATCTTCGCTATAGTACCAAGGCCCTGCTCCATCAGCAAAATCTTCTTAAAGACACATAGCACCACATCCACTAATTTCTGTAATACAGCCTGGGCTCCAGTGGTAACTCGATCAGAAAGGACAATTACCAGGAAATAACTAAGACCCCTAATTGGAGATAGTTGTGAAATTTGCACTCCAGTGTGCAAAATGTGCATTCCAGCAGGGAAAGCCGTTTCACACTAGGGGAAGAAGACACTAAACCTGGACGTAACTGAAGTGAGGAAAACTCTAAGCAGAGTCAACTCAGGGAAGGCTCCAGGGCCTGATAACATACCTGGGCGGATGTACAAAGAGTGTGTGGATCAGCTGGCTGGTGTCCTCAAAGACATTTTTGAGGTGGTGTTTACATTCCAGGTGAGGGTGTATCTGATGTGCACCCCCAAGAAAACACTCCAATTTTTATTTTTAAAACACACAGCCAATCATTAAGCAACTAAACAATTCCAGGTTTTCTGTAATTGATGTTTCCCTATTTCACCACTTTTCTGTTACTTTCAAAAGCATAACTCTGATGAGTCCATTGGCTAAAATGGCATAAGAAAACACTTCTTTAAGGATGGTGCTATTGACGCCTTTAACCAGATTTACTCTTCTACCTCCACTTTGCCTTGTAACTCCGAAGAGGAGCTTGTAGATAATATTTATTCAAATCAAATCTTAGAAATCATTGATTCTGTTGCTTCTATTAAAGTGAAGGTCATTATTGAGAAGAAAACCGCTCTGTGAAGAAACATGGAGTAGGTTCACCAGTCAGAAGTGAAAATAAGTGGTGTGAAACGCTGAATGCAGTAGTAAAAGATTGGACTCTAGATTCACTATGGCATCTATAAAGAGATACCCTCCAGATTGAGCTTATAATGAAAAAAATCCCAAAAATTCTTTCTCCTGAGATCATCAGCAGACATTTTATTAATGCTTACACCTTATTAGCCATGGTTGACAGGCTAAAACCTGAACTCCACTTTGGCAGGGCCAGCATACATTTCCTATTATCTTAACTGAAAAAAGCAAGGGCAAGAGGATCTAAGTACTTGACTATCAAGACAAATACCTAAGTCATATCAAATTAGAACCAATTTTGGCTGAGTTTCCCAATGTCACCAAATAAACATTTGTCAGCTGTTTTAACTTAGGGAATAAAAACAGCTACTATTAAACTGATGCTGAAAAAGAGTAACTTGGATAAGCTGCTTTTGCAAAACTAAAGGTCCAATTCAAAACTTTCCTTAATGACTACATAATTGAAAATGATTGTAATAGCTTTCTAACAATGCCAGCCACTTTTACGTCTCTCAGTCAGGCTTCTGTCCTCACCACAGTATAGAGACAAATTTTGTCAAGGGCTTAAATTATTAACCCTAATGCAGGCTTTGTATGCTTGTATTATCGGAACCTAGTGCAAAATTAAACGCTGTTGATCACTCCCATTCTATTAGAGAACCTAGAAAATTGGGTTGTGCTTTCTGGTACACCACTCAATTGGTTTAAATTCTTTCTGAGTGACAGGGCCTTTTTTATTAGAAGGTAACTTTACATCAGAGATGACAGAAATCATATGTGGTATTCCTTAAGTGTCCATCTCTGGGCCCTCATCTTTGTTATCTACATGCTCCCCCTAACTTGGATTAAGAAAACAACAACATACTGTATGTTGCTATACAAATGACAAACCAGGTCACCAGGTCAGCCACTTGGTAAATGCATTGAAGAGATCAATGCATCAACACATTGATCATCAATGTATCAACATTTTCTTCAGCAGAATTAAAGCAAAACTTAAGAAACTGTTTTTGGACAACAGGACATTTAAAATTTTGTGGACAGCTTCAGTTAATATAGCTAGAAACCACCAATCAGGCTCTGGGTGGACTGATAGCCTCAAAACTTAGCCTTCAGAGGCACATAAAGAAAGTAACAAAGTTGGCCTTCTCTCAAATTGAGAACATCTCTAGGACTAGCCTCTTAACAAGATCTGAAAAAATAATTCATTCATCTATCTTTATTGATTCCTGCAGTGATGTGTTTATAGGCCTGACTCGTGTAAGGAGAATATCAAATTAGCTATGTTCACATACAAAAAAAGCTTGTTATTAGTCACTTGTGTTATCAACAAAGGTGAGACTAACATTTTGCTTGACTACTGTAAGTGTGGGTGTTAGAAAGAGATGGAGGGGACAGAAAATGCCTATGGCAAGGCCATCTCATGATCTCCATGCTAATATACCAATATGTGGGAGACAAAAAAAGACAGACTTAGATGGAGATAATCAGAGAGGTTATAAAATAGAAAAAAATGAGGATGTTCAAATGCAGTTTTTCCAGGGTCAAACTAGTAAGTGTAGTCTATGTTGATAAATTAGCTAAAGTAAGGCAAGGAAAGAGCAACCTAAATTACTGATAAACCGTCTCACAAACACAGTTTTAATCTCATCTGATATATATGTGAAATCAATTGTTCTATAAACTCATTCATTCAATTATAAATCTGATATATATGTGAAATCAATTGTTCTATAAACTCATTCATTCAATTATAAATCTGATATATATGTGAAATCAATTGTTCTATAAACTCATTCATTCAATTATAAATATTATATATATATATATATATATATATATATATATATATATATATATATATATATATATATATATATATATATATATATATATATATATATATATATATATATATTGAGGGGTTAAAGAGGTTTCATTAAAGAAAAATGCAGCAATACAATTGACTAAAAGCTGGTCAGTCACTACCGCCATCGCATTAGTAATGTTTTATCTTACTGGAAGAGATGGATATTCTCCAGCAAAGAATCAAAGTAATTTTCCAATATGAGTAGCCTGCAATATTTTTAATACCCCTACAAACATATTCAACTGCAAAAAATGAAAACAAAACTTAAATCTACATATATAAAAGCCCTCAAACATATACATTCAGTAATATGTACAACACAATAACTATCCCTAATAAATTGTATTATGTCCTGTTTGGTAGATTATAAAATACTTATTTCACAAGTCAAATTAACTTTGAACTTTTATATCATATAATTCTGTGAACTTTAGGTGCTGTTTACATAAAATAATCACAGATTGACAGACATTTTGTTGCAGAAGAAAAAAATATCAGTTCACAGAAAAAAAAGCATAGTCAAAAAATGCCTTATCAAAAAGCACACAGTCTGTAGTTTCTGTTATGCTAAAAAGTTGTAGCAGTTCCAGTACTAATATTTGCAACATTGCTGAATTAGATCCCATAGGCTCTTTGCATGATGTTCACCTGTGTTGACTCAAACATTTGCATGCTCTTTTTTTTGTCATTTTGCTGCAGCCTACAGATTGCATCTAGCTACTCTCACCCTTGGTCCATTTTTGATTACATTAAATAAAACTGGCCACAGATTAATAAATATGTTTCTGCAATATTGAATGTGCTTTATAAGTGTCGTTACATTTACTGGCAAACTAACCAATGCAGGAAGGAAGCGGTTTGTCCCAAACCCGCCTATCACCACTTAGACAGGTTAGGGTACTGCTGCCATGGAGGGTATACCCAGGGTTGCAGGAGTAAAGGACAAATGTGTTGGCATAATGACCGTCGTCCTGGATCTTATATCCATAACTGGGAACTCCTGGTTCCTCACAGCGAATTAGGTCGAAACCTAGAGAAGAAACACATAAAAGGGAGGTGATGATAATGTTTATGTTTTTATAGCCAAAAATAAAAATTGTTTTCATTGTAGCCAGTATACCATAAGGTCAATCTGATCTGTAACTAAAAGCCTTCAAATCTTATACAAATGTTTATTTCTAAAACACTGTCTTGAAACCAACACAGATAAATTTAAAAGTGCCCATCTTTTAAAAAATGTTTTGCATTTAAAAACGGAAAGGGTTTTTTTCTTTTTGTATCAAAGATATAATTTTTCTGAGCAATATCCATATCAAACATTATTGTTACTCACCAACAACAAAAAAAGTGTGTTTAATGCTTTTATAATTTGTCAGAGAGACTGAATGGCACTGTGTTTTTTTTTTTAGCAGCAAAGCAGAGCACACTGCATTCTTTACCGCGGTGAAGTTAGTTTCAAGTTGAACATTGGATATACAAGCAGGCTGCATCTACCTTACAGTCGATCTGATTAAGGATTTCTGATTTTGGTCATCCGTTCCCTGTTGCCTCCTGTTGTCAATGGTTCACTTCAAAATCGTCGTCCCTCAATCGGATCCACCATGAGCTAGATGCCGCTGACTCAACGGAGTTTGAATACACAACTTAAAACTAACTTCACCATGGTAGAGAATGCACTGCTAGTCAATAAATGTTGTCATCAGCATATGTGGAGATAAATCAGTGCTGCAAAAAAAAAGAGGAGTCTTTCTTTTTACAGATCAGCTAGCTATCAGCTGATAAATGGTGTCAGCACAGCTGTTTGAAATAACTTCGGTAACAGATCTATTAATTCTGAAAAAAAAAAAAAGACCAATTTGAGATTGTAAAAGGCATATTTAACCAGAAAGGTCATAGCAGGTGGTTGGAGATTCAGCCATGTTTTGCAACATAAGGTGGCAACACAAACCACCAAAGACTAGTTATTTTTTATGATCAGATTTATAAGCAGCAACCCACACAGGCCCATCTTAACTGGACATTATAAAGGATGATTAGGATAAAAAAAATAAAATATGTATAAAATATATAAATATATATAAAATCAATTTCACTAATTAGGCTTTGAATCTCCACTGACATCCCTGGACTAAAAGAACAACTAAGACAGGTTGTATTTTGATCTTTTAACATAGAAATTTAAAGAAAAGATATAAAACAAAGCTTCTTTTTTTTAAATCAATGCAAATGATAAACATTGATACAACCTTTCAATGCAAACTGTTTCACAACAGGCAGCATTTTATTCTGTTTAAATGAGCTTGTGATGCCCGTTTTGTCAGTCTTTTTCTCAATCCATTAAACGGATGCATTTTTTTCTTTTAATCGTTATTGTGATTTTCTTGTATATTTGTTCTGTCATTCCATATTGCTATATTGAAATAGTCTTTAATAGTGGCCATTTTGCCTCTCTTCTCTTTTGTATGTGTTAAGCTCAATCTATTACCTCACACTTATCAATGCACAAAGTCCTCTGTAAAAGCAGAGACTCTGAGGAATGTGTCACCTTCTTCAGTATAATAACTTGCCAATTGAGGGCAGTTTAATAGTTTTATTGACTTACAGAGCCCCTATAATATCCATATACCATTAACCCTCATATGTTTGTCCCATTCGTTCAGCTGCTCCTCCACTCCAGATGTGTCTTTCTCACCTGCTTTAAATGGCTTGCAGATAGATGTTCCTCTAATGGCCTTTTTGACTTATACATAAACTCATCTTAAATTTTTAACAGTTTCTTTTTAAAGCCTTTCAAATGGATGCATTTCTATGTGTGTTTGTAAACTAGAAGGAGAGTCTATTTAGAGCATGTACGTCCCAATTTCCTTTTATAATTCAGGTTAAATGATAAAAGAAGAAAGAAAAAAAAAGTTGGTACATTAAAATAAAATGTCATTTTCTAAAATGTTCATGTAGCCTATGACACCAGGTTTAAAAAACAAACAAAACAGCACACTCACGGTACCACTCAACAATGTTGTTGTCAAGAGCAACTACCCAGAGACGGAGTCAAGACTAAGACAGGAAGGGCAAAGCTGAGATAAGACCAAGAGCAGTACCCTACTTCACATCACAACTAGAAAAGCAGTCAGGGAGCACAGATCTCTGTTAAGTAGCTAATTTCCCCTGTTATATTGTGACTTCTACCTTAAGTTAATACCTGTATTCAGAGAACCTTTCAAAAAAATTCCTGAATCCAGATGGAGGGGTACCTTTGGTAAAAATGTAATTAAATTCATTCATAACTTTTCAAGTTATACTGTACACAGACAAAAACACACACACAAACTCTCCCAAAAATATAACCTCCTTGATGGAGGCAATAAAATGTGAAACATCCTCAAAAGTCCTCAAATTAATCTAAAAGTTATAAAAACTACAAGAAACATAGAGTTAGTACAGTTACATACAGAAATAAAATAAATGTAACTTTCTCTATTTGATACTAATTCATAGTTTTAACGTTTTAATCAAATATTTGATTGAATCATGCCTAAAAATGAACAAATGAAAATAAAGGTTTTTGTTCCATTGCTAACTTACACAAAAAAAATATCAGCGGAAGATTAACAAACAAAACAGAATTCTTTGTAGCAAGAAGGGCTTTAATTCCTGAGGCAGTGAGATAAGTCACCATCACATGGCCATAAAGTAAAAATATGCTTAAAAAAAAAAACCAAGAAAAATATTCAAAATAGCATTTGTTATTATTAATTTATTTAGAGTAAAAATACTTTCATTAATTTGATACATATATCTCAAGTTAAACTGATTTTTTAAAATAGATTTTGCCTTTTCTTAATGTAACGTGACTAATTTGTGGTACATTCTACTTTATTACTTGTTACACTTTAATTGTTTCTATATATAGGGTTTGGCTTCCGTGACACGTTTACATTTAAGTTCAAAAGGTTATGGTCAGAGCCTTCCTTTAGCCATTGAGGTTTTTCCCTTTTATTTACAGTTTTATGTGATGGATATCAGAAGCTTCTTCCCTTCAGTCAAATCCAGCTGCTGCAATGGTAGACACGTCTGGTGGTAAAAGAGTAAAGTAGGAACAGTGTCACCTTTAAATGATACCTATTGGATTGGTCCAACGGCAATTATGACTTTATCTAGCCAAAGGCTCCCAGAGGAACTTCTTAGCTTTTAAATGCCATATCAGAGCTGAGGTAAAGAGAACTGGTATGCTGTTTCTGAAAGCAAACTGAAGGCAGCCATACCTGTGGCTCGAGACATGTTCCTCAAGCGGGAATCACGGTACCATGTTTAAAAAAAAGCCATGGAGCAGCTGTCAGACGTCTCTACCTTCACTGCATTATGCATTTTGTAGCTACTTTATTGGAGGAGTTGTGGGGGTGAAGGGGCAGATAAGTGACAGCAGTAACAAAAATGACATTATGCTTGGATTTGAATCATTGCATTTTAAATTTAACAAAAAAAACAAAACAATATCAACAAATTTGATTAATGATATTTCCACAGTTTTTGTCTTGACTATTCTTAAACTGAAATGAGTTCTTATTGTTCGAGTTTGAAACCAGTAAGAGACATTCAAAAAGTGTCCTTGAGACTGGTCTCAAGACTAAAACTGGTGTTAAGTACTACATCACTGTCACTCACTTTCAGTTTAATGATACACAAAGCTTTCCTTGCAAGCAAGATGAATTGTTGCAAGATTAGTATAGTCTCAAACTCATGAAAATACATCTTGCCAGGAAACAGCACATGCATTAGCCATAATACGGAAATGTTTTGGGCAAATGAAATGCAGTGATGTGTACGATGTCTACGAGCCAACTAGAGGTGGAAGGCTGCTGCAAAAAAACATGGCTGCGCCAGTTTTAGGAGGAAAATCCTCTATTTCTTTTGGGAAAACAAGCAAATGATGAGCAAAAAATATTGATTTAACTATTAACTCTGCTAGTTGTAAAACAAAGGAAGCTGCCACCGCCACTGTTAATGGCTAAAAACTAAACAAGGGAGGCAGGTTCTTAACCAGCTTGCAGAATTGTACTGAATCCCACCTTTTGGGAACATGTTTTACACTAGGCTTCCCAGACCAATACATGTAGTTCACTTTAAATTCTTTAAGGTATGTATCTGGCTTATGCCATATTAACACAAAGCAGATCCTGGACCAATCCAATACGCTTAACTAAAGCCTTTCAAACTTTTGGATTTGCATCTAAAGATTTAAACCGCTAGAATAAGCTCCTTCGATTTTAGGAATTTGAAAACAAAAATGTAAAAAAAAAAAAAAAAAAATGTCTATAACTAAATAATTCCTCTTAATAGCTACTAGAAACATCTTAACACTACAACAAATTATTGAAAATAAATGTGAACTCAAACAACTTACTTGTGTAAGTGAGGCGGAAGCCCTGATCAGTTCCAGAGGCATTGCTATTGAACTCCAGCCATAGGTGATTGGATGTACTGTTGATGATACGACCCATCATTCCTTCAAGTGTAAAGTTGCCAAGAAGACGGGATGAAGTGTTCTCTCCATCATAAACCTGTCAGTGTTAACAATGAAAAAGCAATTAGCCATATTAACAAGCTCCTTAATAATTGGTTTGTGTGTAAGATTGTAATGGATGGACAGATGGATGGATGACTTATTTTGCTCTGTAAATTTTAGCTCAACTAAACAATGCATAGTAGCATTTAAAATCCTCCTTCTTACATACTGTATAAAGCGTTAAATGGCCAAGCTCCATCTTATATCAGGGATTTGATCATTTCTTATGACCCTATCTGATAACTTTGCTCTAAATCCATAGGTTTATTAGTGGTTCCAAGAACTTCTAAAAGTAGAATGGGAAGCAGACCTTTAGTTACCAGGCTCCCCTCCTGTGGAACCGAATACTTGTTTTAGTCCCTGAGGCAGACCCACTGTCTTCTTTTAAGGTCAGGCAAAGCTTGTTGTTAAAATGGCTCAGGTTATCCCGAGCTATCACTATATTAATGCTGCTATAAGTGTAGACTGCTGGAGGACATACTGACCACTTTCAATCATTCTGCTTTATTCAATCTCTATTCTACCATTTTTGCAGAATTTGTCAGTTTATCACTAAACTTTATATTCTGTGTTTTTCTCTTCATAGTAGCTTTTTCTGGTCTGTTCCTGTTTGGCTGTGACATCATCCTGAAACAATATGAGCTTGGCTGCTGCCATTAATACCTTTTTTCATAGATATTGAAATGTAGTCCTGTTTCTCTTACTATGACTAACTGTATGTACTATTGTTCATCCTCTGACATGATAATTGGCTGAGAGCTTGTGTGCTTGGTTGTGTCTTTCCTGGACAGGGCCACCTGTAGAGCTAGTTATAGTTACATTTTGTATTTCTGCTTCTTTCTGTATGTCTGCCACTATCTCCTTTAACCAGAGTCAGCCTCGGCAGAAGGCTGCCCACACTGGGCCTGATTTTGTTTGTCTTTATGTTAAAAGGGAGTTTTTCCTCTCCACTGTCACTACATGCATGCTCAGTTTAAGAGATTGATGTCGAGTCATTGAGTCGATACAATCAGCCTGTTTTTCTTAGATGGAAAACTTTGAAAAAATCTGACAGTATCATCTCTTTGAATTGTCTTGGGAAAGTGCCTTAAGATTATGTGTTCGGAATTAGTGCTATATAAATGAACTGAATTGAATCAATTATTACCTTTAAAATTAAACATAGATTGTTCTCTTTATACCAAAGATGTGGATTTTATAGCACAAAGCTTAGCCTTACAATTTTTTTTAAAGCAGAACAAAGTACCTGACCAGCAATTTAATGAATGAATGACAACAAAAGGAGTTTGGTTACATCTCTGACATAACAGTGTTTGACAGGGGTGTAATTTGGACTGCATGCCCACCAAATTGTTAAAAGGTTTAGGATTTAGGAACACATTCCAACTTTGAAGATTCAAGGCTCCACAATGAGGATCCCTGCCAGTTTTTTTTTTTTTTGTTATAAAGAGTCGGTCCATAAACCATAGTAGTAATTTTGGACTTTGAGGACCAATGTCCATGTTTCATCTTCCATGTTTCACATGTTCACTGGACTGGAAGGTGCAGTTATGGTCCACAGTGCTGCTCTTCTCTGCTCTGCAACCCCCTCTCAGCCCAGCTAACCACACAGGTTTGCCCATAACCACCCCCACCACCAAGTTTCTTTCCATGAAGCTGCCTGGGGGTTCACATTGGAAATGGAGGCCATCGTGGAACCCCAGTCTCAACATCCCAATCTTCAGATTGACCAGGGCTAAGTCATGGTGGCTGAAATGTCAGAACCAAACTGCTTCAAAACAGCCTGTTCACAACATTCCTCTTTGAGTTTCAGGAACTTCTAAGATGTTTGAAGAGATGAAGAGAGGGGAGGAGGAGAGCTCCCCTGATACGTTTCTAAAACAAAGGAACCCTCCTTGCTGTGAGCCTGCCATGCTAAGCTGCTAACTGCTGGAAGAAACTCACAGTTAAGGACAGATTATAGTTAAACAATATATCTTTTGATGATTTAGATCATTTCATGTGTTTACTGATAAGTAAAGACAGAGCTAGCAGTATGGATCGCATGGTACGCTATGCGACAGTAACATGTTTTGAGCTGTTTTCTTTATAAGCTAAAACAAGCTTAATTCTACCAGAGTTTTAAACACTGATATAACGTGTTCATGTGTTTTCTCATATGGCCATTACATTTCAATTACGTTACATTTGACTAAAGATTATTGGTTCCTGATTAAGGAATTAATTAAAAAAACATTATTTGACCAAATAATGTTTTATTCACCTCATGGATTTGCATTTTGAGTTGGTTTGAAAACATTCCAATTGCTATAAATTAGTGAAAACTAATTTGATCACATCCCAAATTCGTTGAGAATTACTTTGGTTCTCAAACACAAAATCCATTCTGAACTATGGACTTTCAAATGTTTTTAACTTAATTATGTTTGACTTGGAGCTGAATGATTTTAATATACTGTTATATTTTGAACAGAAGGTGTGGTGAATTTATTCCATATATGTGCAGAATTATCTGTTTGACTGTGATTTTAGCTTGATTCACACTTTCAGTCCTTATTCTAACACACAGCCAGTAGGGCATTTGTTCATAAGCAATATATGACATTCCAAATAATATCTGATTAAATAAGATATTTACCACCCCATACCGGGGTACACAATAACTATAATAAAGTTGCAAAACATAGGAGTGATTCATTATTTACAATTTTAAACAGGTATGACTCATACTGCCAATTTATTTGATTATTAATCTATTCATTTATCTTCTAGCGCTTGACTGTTTAGTCATGTGTTCCTGTTGAAAAGGAGGGCTACACTCTAGAGAGGTCGCCAGTCCATCTAAGGGTTAGACACTGACATACAACTATACATGCACACTTACATTTAAGGACAATTTAAAATCACCAGTCAACTTAACGGTCATGTTTTTGGACTGGGAGGAAGCTGGGGTATCCAAAAGGAACCCTAATATGCATAGGAAAAACATGTAAACTCCATGCAAAATGATCCTAGACCTGGCCTTAACGCAGTACCTTCATTCTGCAAGGCAGCAGCACAACAAACCTTTTCATTGTGCAGCCCACGGGTATATTTCACATCAATATCTAAATATATAACCTTATAAATACATGCTATATTTATAATCTAGGCTGTGTATGTTTGGGCTATACTTATCAACTATTTCTTCATTATTTCAGAGGTAAGGTGGGTGACATGCACAAACTGACACCAAGACGCACCACAGAGTTTTATGGGACCAGTCCCTCAGTATAGACATTAACATTATGCCAAAAAGAAAAATGAAGGGATGAAAAAAAATGTGCTTAAAAAATTGCATCACATTATTTTACTGTATTTTTCTTTCTATGTGTCTTTTTGAGTTTATATCAATAATTTGATTGCAGATCATTTTATCCTCTGTGGTGTTGTTAGATGTTTGCTGTACTCTTTTACTATCACCCACTATAGAGGTTATTTTAAGACATTGAGGAGAGAATATAGTCTTCTAGAATGACTATTTAAAAATAGAGATTGAGATATTTGAGCCCAATTATTATTCAGAATGCATGAATAACAAACAGATCATTTCAAAGCTGCACCTTTCTTTTAAAGAAAGAACATTTAATTGGTTCTAGAGTCAACCAAACATGAAAACAATCTCTTGGATTTACATCCATGATTCAGACTTCAGTTCTTTCTACAGACTTTTCTCATTATACCTTACCAATACAAGAAACTGCTGACTTAGAAAAAAAAATAAGTTAAATTCAGCTCAGACACAAGACTTTGATAAAGTACACCACACAACCTTCCAGGGCTGCCAATGCCACATAGTATAGAGCAGCAGCTGGCATCTAACAGACATGTTTGTGTTTCCCCACAGGCACTGTCTACTGTTCCACTCTGTGACACTATTCCAAGGCTTAGAAACTAATGAAAAGCAGCTTATGACAATGCTCTACATCTAATATGCCCACCTTGCCTCCATTTTTATTATTGTCCAGTCACTTTTAAAAACACAAGCTACTAAACTTGAGTATTGTACTGGAGACTCCCTCTTGCTATTCAGAATACCCTATTTCATCTAGATAAAATTACTTTCTAAAATCTTTGAATCCAACTGTGCGTAAGCCTGTTTAAACTTTTATATGAAGTTATTTTTCTATGTGAAATTAAGAAAAAAAATCCCTTGACCAAATAATATACTCTGATTTTGTCAACTTATTTGCAAAGCTATTTTATTTCTATTTTTTTTTCCCTTCCTTCTGTTATTGCCTCATTTTTTTCCTGTAACCTACATCCATATGCCCAGTTTTTACATTACTGAGATGATACCATACCCCTTTACTTATAAAGCACTATAAAATAAAGGTCATCGGGGTCCTTTACATACAACTAAAACAACAGTAAAATTAAAGTAGACAAGCAAAATGCAGACAACCTAAAATAGAAAATAAGAGTTAAAAATACATAAAAACATAAATACTGTTTACCGTATTTATATTTACTGTGTGTACTGTGTACAGTATTTTATTTGTCTACTTTTTTTTTTTAACTCTTTTCATGCACCTTTTAAGGTCTACATTCATGTGACCACTTTTGCTATAATCTTTTGTTGCTGTAACACCACTATTTCACTATTTCCCAATATAGAGATTTTCTATTCTATTATAAGTAACACTGGACATATATTGGGGGAATGATTTTGAAAAACGTATGTAAGTTGTTTATTTCAAAGCTTGAAGTATTTCATTGTGCAACAGTGTTGATTGCCATCACAAAGCTGTTAAGGAAAAGGTGACTGTTTGTGCTTGAACTGCTCTGGCTTATATTAGGCATCCTGTGACATTTTCACAGATGGATGGTGACAGGTCTGCAGGTGACAGGAATGCCAAAGAAACAGGCAAAGGTGATATGGTGTTCTATCTTTACAAGTCCCGCCAGTCAGAGGAGACGGGTCTGTATGTAGATACAGCCTGTTTGAGTGAGTGG